CTTTCGTGAAAATTTTTTTTTTCACCCAAATCGTCACTTAGCATGGTTTTGCACTCACCCCTTCAATTACCCAGCACAATCATGCAGAATATCACCTGGCACTGCATGTAAGCTGATGGGTCTGTAGCTCGCATGGACTAAAGTAAGGTAATGTCTCATACTAGAGCAGAATAATTGTCAACAAATTGACAGCTAGGATAAGGGTAATTGTACAGAAAGATGTTGGCAAGTCTTTCAAAACTTCCTAAATACATGGAAAACAACATATTATATTGCAGGATATTTATTTAATAGGTATGACAGATGGTGAGGATGTCCTTACCACATATGGATATGGTCAAAATTTGTTAAATAATAAGCAGCTGACTTAATGCAGTAAAGGGGAGGCGCGATGGCCTCATGGTTGGTGCACTCCACTCCAGGATCATGCCCTGGCAGGACATGTATGAAAACGTGGGAAATGAAGCCATCATTAATAAATATCCTCACTGGGATCATAGATATAGTTTCCCAGAAGAAGTTTTAATGTTTGGGTCCTGAATGTAGAATATTTTCCAGTAAAACACTCATGTACCTGATTTTAAAATTTCTCCAACAATTTGTTGTGTGAGTCCTGGGATCTCTTTTTCAGCCTGATAAAAGAAATCACTTTAATTAACCTCACATTTTTTAAATTACCCAGAAATGAAATCTCATCATCACTGAAGCTTGACTCTCAGAACAGCTTGTTAGTGGTATCTTGATTTCCATGTTAATATATGGCTTGACAAGTCCAGTAAATGTAAGCGCTGAGTGGTTGAACACGTAGTGCAAAAACTGTTTTCATGATGTACATGTATTATCCATCACATACCAGTACCTCTAAACACTGAAGGTTACACTTGCTTATAGCTCAGTGCAATTTGCTCTTTTGTGGAACTCATGAACAGGTATGTGTAAGCACAATGAATAAGTTATTGAAACTAGGAGGAAAACCATGCTTGATCTGGCCCTTTGCCCCTTGAGTGTCCCAAGTCCTACAATTCTCCACCCTAAAGCCAATGAAGTGCCCCAACATGCATGGCATAAATGACTGTTTAAAAGCCAGGATTCCAGCCACTCCTACTAAGGGTGTTTGTATGTTACTGAAACTGAAACTTCAGCCATCTTCCCCTGAAATACCTAAAGAGACTTAAAGGGTATATGAATATCTTTTAGCTGCTTGATGGAATCTACATGAGCTTATGATGGGGACATCAAAAAAAGAAATGGATCTCCTTTTATCTTTACCACATTTTAGCCGTCTTACAAATATTCCAGATGAATAAAACCACACAAGGGGGAAACCTGACACTAGCCAGGCCATGAGATCAAAACAAGAATATAGGTAGTATAGTTTCTGTTTATTAAACACTGGATCATTGGATAATGCAATTCAGGAGTTTTCATTGGCTTAGCCATCACGGGTTATGGACCATTATACCATGCTCTACAAATATGGTAAGCGTACGTGTGTTTTTTTTTTGGAGCCTTTTTATTTTTTTCTATCCATTGGGGGCTTTTTTGATAAAACAATTATTCCACTCGCACTTGTTGGATATGAGATGATTATAGCCAACTCATATCCAATGCACACTCATGGAATAATTGTTAAATATTCCCTCCTAATGAATCACTGCAGTAATAAGAAAAAATGAAACAGCTAATTTCACCTTGACAAAAGCAGCTCTAAGACTTTCAACAGCTTGTTTATCGAAAAAAGGCTCCATCTGAAACAAAAGAGGAAATAAAGGTAATTAATGGAGTACAGTGTACATTATAATGTTTTGATTTTGTTTATGAGGTTTTGTAAATGGAAGTAGTGTTTGGACATGTTATTCCACTTGAAAGTGAGGGGTTCAAAAACTTTGACACCACTACATTCTCAAAGCTGGTTTCAGATATTAATATGCTTTTGAAATTTATTCATCAATTATTAGATGTAGTTTCAAGTAACATATGTAACGAGACCGTGATCAACAACAGGAAGTCATAACATTCTTAAGCAAAGTTTGCTATCACTGCCTGTTATAGAGACGTCCAATTCAATAATACTATATGGGGATTTTGCTGGTACCAAACTTTCTCAGGGGTGGAGATGTCCATAGTTTACAGGAAAGAGTCGACTGACTGGCAGTTATTATAAAAGCTAGAGCTCGACGCTAGAAGCTAACAACGTCTAAGCTTAAGCTTACTTTCGTATTATAAAGCTCTAATTTAGCTTACGCCTAAGCCCCAAAAAGAGGTTAAAAGATCTTTTTATTAGGACATTACCTCACGAATAGCTGGCTTCACAATAGTTTCCAGCGCCAGGTTTGGTACCGGGGTACTCTCTTCTCCATCAAGCGCCATATCTCCAAACTTGTTGTTGTTTTTCCTTGATCTCACATCTGACTTTCCGCCATGTTGTTTTCTCTTCGTCGTAACAGTTTGGCCAGCGGTTCTTGTTGGCTACATGAAGTACATCATGTAATGCACTATGTGGATTTTGCCAAAGTGGCAGCAATGGAGTCTGCAGAATTACACGACGACCGTCTTTTTAAAACCATTTTCAAAGATTCTTTTCAAGGTATATGTAATTAATGTTTATGTTTTTATGTAAGGTGTTAACGAAGGAAATTTCCGTCATAAAAAATAAACATAGTGTTTAGCTCGGGTCAGTACACTTGGAATCGATAACTGTAAGCTTATTTGAGTAAGCATGTAGGTAGCCACTGAGTTTCACCAGTAGAAATTCCTCCTTTGTTTAATAGGATATTACCTGTTATAGCTCACAAAGAACGCTTTAAATGTGCTCTGTTTTCAACCAAGTGTTGAGAAATATACCATAAGCAAGATGAGTTTAACTTCCTTAATTGCCATTCATTTGTTATGATTGCAGAAACATGGAAGGATAGCCCAGACTTCACTTTATATCTTGCAGAGTTGAGTGCTTCTAGTGTGGAAAAGTTAAGTAAGTAAAGTGGTATTGAATGTTTCAGAGTCATCTGAACGTGTCGGAAGCTGAAAAGCAGGTACTCCAATTGCAGGGATCTTGTAATAGGAATGTACAGAAAGAAACCATCAAAGGTGGCATAAAAATTAAAAGATGTTAACAAGAAACAACTTTTAGGACTACATTGAAGTCTCCTAACTTAAGAAATGGATTGTTACTATATAAAACCCATTGATGGAGCATGGTGTCCGTGTGATTGCTGTTCTTGTAGATATGTATATACACTTGTAGGAACGCCATTTACATGCAGGTCCCTGTTGTTCAAAGGGAAGACAATGCTATCCTTTTGATAAATTGCTATCCAGGGGCTAAGTGTTGATGAAACAAACTATAAGCTATCCAGTGGATAGTGATTCATTCAGGTGATGGTTTTATCCACTTTGAACAACCAGGGCTGTATCTTTAGAATGTCCTGTGACAGTTGTGAGGGACACTGTACAGTATAAAAAAGCTACAGGGATTAAGCCTTTGATCTTCATTCTATTAGCAAAAAAATTATCATGGCCATTTCCTGTTTGATTTAACTAAACAGTACCTCAGGAAAATATAGCAATGTTCAAATACATGTAGTAATATTACATGTATATGTATCTATTCCTAGTACAGTCATGAAAATACGAACTGAAACTTATTCAGATGAAGTTTTTACCATTGTTTTCACTTTGCCTGTGACTGTCTGAATCATAATTATTCAATTCAATATAGGGTTTTGTCAATCAAACATGTCCTATATGGAATACTGGTCTACTCCTTAGACTTACAGTGAAACCTGTATCCCATATCCTCTGTTAAGTGGACAACAGCTGAAGTTCCAAAATTTTATTAAAGCTTTAAAGTCAGTCGTTAAAGCGCAGTTAATGGAGCATGACGCTATTTACGTACAGTCACTAGCTTTGCAGTGACTTCCCTAAGCTTCGTTTTCGCTAATTTAGTGGCGCTCTTTAGCACTCTTTTATGCCTCTTCTTGTCCGATCCAGCACGTGCCGGCGGAGTCGGCTCGTAGTGCTGGGGAGATAAGTAAGGCTTGAGAACTGTCTACACTCTAG